ACCGAGCTCTAAAACACGGCCACCCGCTCCACATACGCCGCGTGTCGAGGCAATATGTGCAACCTCGCCGGTCCCGGGGTCTCCTTCGTCGAGTCGGGCTCTGCGTCGCTCGGGGACTTTGGATGTAGCCAAGGTTGCGTAGGGTTGCCTGAAAGTGCAGGTTCTGCGACCATGAAGTACATGTAAAAACTGTATCTCAGTTGCTCGGTGCTGTGTAATGCCAATGGCAATTGTGCCTTCTGTGTGTAATGCCTGAACAAAAGGATGTTTTGATGTCCAATTTGTCTAAAGCTAAAGCTAATATGTACTACATTCCTCCTTGTCATATTGTTTTGTAACCATGTGAAATGCCAATGTCAGATTCTTTGTTTTCTTTTTCATATATAGAGTTATACTTCATCTTTGTTTTCTGATTGGTTTTCTAATCTCTCTTTTGCTGCATCAGATATAGTTTTAATCAACAAACATACTGGAGTACAGTCAAATGTTTCAGTTTAAAATTCCAGAAGATTCATAGGATAGATTCTGAAGCAAGAATGTTGCATATCAATTGTGCAATCCCTCCTGGAGTACAGTCACAACTGTTTTGGACTGATACAGTGATCAGCATGCTACCTCCTGGAGTACATATGACAGGAGAACATAATAATCGCAGAAAGAGCATGCTGATTGTAGCAAAACTCAGCAAAACTCACACACTGAAAATTAGCACTAGTACAAAAAGGTGTTTACAATCAGCCAACAACGTTGTTTGGGCAATTTCGTGCATCATGATCCACTACTAGCTTGCATTTTCCACACTTCCGTTTTCTTGGTGCCTTCTTCTCCTTGCTCTTCTTAATTCTTTTGCACCGCCCTTTGGACTTGATATCATTTGGTGGATGTATCTCGACTTCATGTGGAATTTTGCTACCAAGGAACGATTCAAACTCATCATGTTTAGTAACTGTAGCAGCAGGAATGATCTTTTGGAGAGGTTCTACAAGGTTGGATAAACTAGAATATAAAAACTCCATCCCTTGTTCAGAGTTCTTGGCCATTTGGATAAGATCTTCAAACTTGTTGCGTGAATCTGAATTTTTTTTCTCGCATTGCCACCTCCTTAGGATCTTCAGCCTTTTCATCCAGAAGGTTACCTTCGTCGTCGAAGAACACTTCTCTGTGAAAATAAAGATCTGATCAGCACTATTGCACATAGAAAAACATTACATTCATAGAACAAAACAAAACAGCCATATAAACTCACCTTTTACATTTTTTCTCCCATCTCTTCATAATATAAATCGATGGTATCTCATTGTGCTTCTCGCCTCTAAGCACTTGTATAATATGACGGCACGGGATGCCATAGGACTCATATAATTTATAGGAGCACGTACCAAACATGTTTGACTTGTTCATCTGAACCACTCGCTCTCTTCCAGATAGGCTGCTGATGGTGACAAATTTCATATCTTCGGACTCCGAAGTCCCTTGAATAATGCAATGGTCTCTTGCAACTATGAGTTGTTCCTAAAACTTACTGAAAATTTCATGTGTATATATTGCACTACATTGCTTCTCCATGGCCCATGGTGTCATCAATTTAGGATTGGTGTGAAGACTTGCATTGTCGGCTTTCAACTCCTCTTGGTGCTGGCACTCCAAAGCTGTGTCAAACCTTAGCCAAAACTCAACAAAGGTCAATTTTCGATGAATGAAACGGTTAAAAAAAGAATTTGCACTCTCCGATCGTGATGTAGTCCTAAGGATTCCTGCTAGAGGTATGTCCATAAAGTATGCTGGAATCCATGATTCTCGAATATCAAACTTTGTGGAAAACCACTCATTTCCCATGAGCCCATATGTTGTCATGATAGAATTCCATTGAGTCTCAAACTCATACGAATTCTCGGAGCCCCAAACACACTTGTGTAATGTACGCCAGAACTCATCATCCTCTCTTATGGAGGGCCCAACCTTCTCAGGTACCTTTTCCATGATATGCCACATGCAAAGTCTATGAAATGTATTTGGTAGAATCTGAGCAATAGCAGCCTTCATGCTCGCATCTTCATCTGTTATGATTAGATGAGGTGCTACTCCACCTGTAGCAGCCTTCATGTTGAATCTACTGAAAGCACATCACCAAAAACACTACAGTTTTTCCTGCATGTGGCATCTGCCCAAAAGACACGAACAAGTCGTCCTTGCTCATCCACCATAAACTCATAAAAGAAGGCAGGATTTACTTCCTTCTTCCGCTCAAGTTGTCCCACAAACATTTGTGCATCAGCATCCTTGATTTTGCTCCTCAAGTCACGATAATAGTTCTTCAAATCCCTCAGCGTGCAACCAATATTCTGAAATCCACCGTCACTGACTTGGAGAAGTCGAAATGCCTAGGATGTGCCAATGCTAGCCTTATGACAATTGAACAAAGTACTCTTTGCCCTCTCACTAACTTTACGGTTGGATCTTAGCAAGTGCCTTTTATCTATCGACACAAATCCATGGCTGTGCTCCTCAACCATTGAATGTATTCGATACTTCTTGTCACTGCAAAGCTTGACAACAATATGTGCCTCACAGCCATATCTGGTTTCCATCACATTTGGTGTCTTCCTTTTTTTTCCGGATTGATCACTAACATCTTGTACGATCTCCTTTCTGTACCCTGCCCTTGAACAACAAAACCGCTTGAATAATATTTCCTCATTTTGTTTCTTGTGCTGACCAACACGAACAGAGAAATCAGCTTCGTGTGCATACGATTTATAAAATATCTCAACATCTGTGAGTGTATCAAATATCATTCCAACCATAGGCTTCAAATGTTCACCGTCCACTACACGCAAGGACAGTATCAATGATCAGATTAGATCAATTTCTATCAAAATGAAGATGAAAATCTTAAAGAACAAACTAACCACGCCATGAAGGGCTGCCACTTCCAAGTCCACAGTGCGCGTGCGTGCGGTCCATGGCGTCGCGCGTGCTAGAGTCCATGGCGTCGCGCGTGCGAGTCGACAGGCAAGACGGGCCGAGGGCGAGCGGCAACTCGCGCCGTCGAAGGGGTCATGGGTGTTGCCGAGGCCGGCGAAGGGGTTGAAGACGTGAGCGGGGCTCACGCCTAGGGCAGCGACACCACGTCGTCGAGAGCGGGTTGGTCCGTCGGAGTTCATGGGGTCGATCGTGACGGGAGAACGACTTTGGGTAGAAACGGCGACTCACGTAATGTGATTAGGGAGGGTCATTTGAAAAAAACGAGATTACTAAGGCTAATTGCGCGTTTTTTGTAAAATTACCCCACCTCTCTCCCTAGCCATCGGACGGGGATCCTACGATCTTGATTGAAAGTTTGCAAGTTTGCACAGCTTGCTTGGTTTGCACAGGATACGTTCCCCACATGAAACATCCAAAATAAAACACTTGCAACTTGCAACATGAAACCACTTGTTGCAACATAAGACTGAAACAACTGAACATTTAGAACATACTATTGATACATATCCAACATCCAGATAAAAAACGATTGCAACATATGTCTGAAAATAGATGAAATATTTTGAACAAACTCTTGCAACCTGCCTCTAAAACACTTGCAACATATGCAATATGTGAACATCCCTCGATCTACTTCTGCAATATCAGGATGAAACAATTGCAACATACATGTGGAACACATGAAACACTTGAAACATACATATGCAACATAGGGGAGGGAAAAGCCGGGCCGATCGATTCCAGCCGTCGGGGTCGGAGCCGCCAGCGAGCCGTGGCGCGTGAGCACCACCAGCACCTCCCGCACTCCTAGGTGCCCTTAGCTCGTCCAGGGATCCTGCCAATGCCGCCATGGCGAGGTCAGCGTGCGTGATGGCGATGGGAGACGTCTTCAGTTTGACGGACCGACGCAATCTATGGGGGAAGTGGGGGCACGACGCGGCAGCCAACAAGCGCGCAGTGGGGGAAGGCCCGCGGACAATGAGCAGCCACGTTGCTTCAGCACGAAGGAGTGGGGGGACGGATAAGCACGAGGGTGTAGGGATTTTGTTTTTTGTTTGGGGCCCGCTCCTGGGATGCCACGTACGGACGGGAGTCATGGACGGACGCCCGAATTGGATCGTTATCGTTTTTTCGTTGCATCACATGAGGATTAATATGTAAGCTTGTTTATTAAGAGACTAAAATTAGTAATAGTAACATACCAGGGACATGCACAAGTATTGCGTTGTGCCCTGCACCAAAATAGAAGAATGAGTGAAATTTTCACTCGTGCAATGTTAAACACATGTACTCCATCTGTTTTAAAAGGATATGAATATCACTCTTCGAGCATAAAATATTTTCAAATTTTTATTTCTAAATAGGTTAATTATAAAAATATAGTTCATCATTAATACTAATAATACTTATTACGTATGATAAGTATTATTATGTGGCCGCACCTATAGTACCCAAATTCTATCTCGAATTTTCTATTTTAAAAATAAAAATAGAAAAATAGAAGAAAATATATGACAGAAAAAATAGGAGAGAAAAAACCGGAGAGAAGCAAAAATAACTTTCGAAGGTTTAGTTACGTAAGCGAATGTTCCGCGTTCGCCTAGAGAATAACACGATCATCCTGGGCTATATCTCAGGAAAGATCCGGTCTAGCTCTATATGAATACCGATGGGGGATAGGGTCAAAATTGAAGTACTCCTAAGTCGTTATGATTATTAAAATTAATTGACTTCTCAAAAGAGAGATTTACATTTTTTTTGAGAATAGTATAAAAAACTAGAGTATAGGAATAGGATGATCTCATTGTTTTCTGGAAAGGTACAGAAGATGCTTTATTTACTTTTATATAGTCTCAAGACAATTACACATGCAGAACACTGATTACAGATTACTCAACCAAGGTAAAGGAAATAAGTGGTACTAGGCAGTAGATTTCACTTGCAGTAAACCATCTGACACACATCAACCAATCACGACCGGAAACACAACTTCATCATCCAGCGCCCATGGTCGCTTAACCAGAAATCTCAATGGTCTTCACCTCAGGTTTCTTGACCTCGGCCTTGGGCACGGTGACGGTAAGCACGCCGTTTTCGAGGCCGGCGTTCACCTGGTCCGTCTTGGCGTTCTCCGGCAGGCGGAACCGGCGCAGGAACTTGCCGCTGCTGCGCTCGACGCGGTGCCACTTGTCGTTCTTGTCCTCTTTCTCCTTGCTGCGCTCGCCGCTGATGACGAGCACGTTGCCGTCCTCCACCTCCACCTTGACCTCCTCCTTCTTGACGCCGGGGAGGTCGGCCTTGAACACGTGCGCCTCGGGCGTCTCCTTCCAGTCGATGCGCGCGTTGGCGAAGGCGGCGGTGTCGCGGCCCGACGAGGCGACAGACGGGACGAGGGAGCGGAAGACGCCGTCGAAGGGGTCCCAGAAGTCGGCGAAGGGGTCGAAGACGTTGCTGCGCCTCACGAGCGACATTGTCGTGGGTTGGATTAGTGAACGCGGAGACCTTGACACTTGAGACTTTGGAAGTGCGAGTGGATTTGAGGCTCTTTTGTATGCGTTGCGCTTTGTGCTTTTTTTCTCGATGGCCGGAGGTTGCAGCCGAGGCAGGGTATTTATAGGTGGATGCCTGGATGGGAACGTTTCTCATGAACCATCCGGAGACCTCTCGGCCCATGGTCACGGCTCTTTTTCTTTCTTTCTTCTAGAAATGGTCTTTAATTTGTTCTAGTGTAGCCTCCTGGTTTCTGGATGGATGCTTTGATCCAATCTTGTTGGCAAGAAGCTCCCGCCAACTGATGATCGGGGATGATTGCTATGGCCCGCTGGCAGATGGGCAGTGCCTATCCTGTTCAGCTGCGCACGTGTTCAGTTTCACCGTCTATACGGAAGTTATTAGTACAGCTCAATTCTCGGCCCCATTATTGTTCATGACCAAATTCCCGGTATCCATTGGGTAATATTGGATACTGATGAGGGTTCTCAAGGTCAATCACCATTTACCATAACAAGCTAGCATTATATTACAACGATGGTACAAAGCATGTCAGCAAGAGCAATCCAGAATCTTCTTCTGTTACGTGACCCAGCAAGCAGGTACTAAGACATTTCAAATTATTCTTGATATATATGGCTCTCTCATCCTTTCCGAATTATAGACATGTTGAGTGCTGCTTTTCTGAACAGGTTGAGTGCTGCTTTTCTGAACTACTCCCTTCTGCCTTGAAATAGTTAGCACTCTGGCTATAAATCTGAACAATTTTTTGCCATCATTATCCAATATGGCACAACATTTGTTGTGTTAGAACCTTTGATTGACCCTGTTCACTTGAACTTATCAGGCCGGCTTATCACCATGGTACAGTGTTTTTCTCTCACAACAAAATAGCATCAGTCGGCTTATTAGCCGCAAAACCATCACCCGAACAGCTTGCACTGCTTCCAATGAAATATCCCAATCAGTTGTCTTTGTCTGAAAGGCTTATTGTTGTCGATTCTTAATAATATCCATCGGCACCCACGACACGAGCCGCTGCCTAGGGTTAGCAAAACGCCGCCGCTCTTCTTCCTCTCCGGTGCATCTACTGGAGGTAAGGAGAGTGGACCCATATCTCTCTTTTCCGTAGTTTTATATCCAGTTTGTTTAGGGTTTAGCCAAATACATGTACCAACGAAATCAGATGTTTTTTGGTCGGGGTCGTGTTTCTTGCAATGACTTTGGTGATTGCCACGACGAGTTCGCCGTTGTAGGCGTTGATTTCATGGGCAGACGGCCAATCTATGGCCTTTATCTGCAAGGGGAGGGGTGCTTCTGGGAGCCCCCTACGAGGGCAGCAACTCCGGGTCATCGATCTCATCATCGATGGTCGCGGAGAGGAATTCAAGGTTTGGGAAATAAGAAAAGACAAGGAAACAAAGGGAAAAGCAAGTGAAATAAAAAGGTTTGGGAAGTGCCGATGCTGAGGGTGGGACGCCGAATTCTCGCCAAGGTTAAAGCAAGTGCATGATGAACTTGTGTCTGGTCTTTGCGCCTATGGATTGAGTACTCAATTGGTTTGATTGTTTCATGTGCTATGTTCCTCTTCATGTGATTCGAGTTCCATGTCTTCCTTTACATTCAATTCATGTTCTGGGGAATCCGGATGTGCAGTGTGGTTTTAAAATTCAAGTTCTAATTTTAAAGTTTTCATTTACATTCAATTCCTGTTCCGGTGAATCTGGATGTGCAATTTGGTTCTTATGTTCATGTTCCTGTGAGTAAGTGCTGGCTCCACTTGCTCGGCTTTACTGGCAAATGCTAAGGATTCAAGTTCGTCCATTTCAGACGGAAACCACTATTTCATGGATGTTCTGGTTCTTTGTTCATGAATTCATATGTTGTAGTTCTTCTTCTTGTTCTAAATGTACTTGCTTAGTGTTTTTACTCACTCTTGTGTTTATTTGGTTTTTAGGTACCAATTGATCGTGATATGCATGGGACCAGGAGTAGCACATTCATGAGCCAACCACTTAGTTAAACATGCTTAATTATCTAATTCAAAGTTTTGAACTGTAATATATAGAAAAATTAAGAGGTCGCTTAAAGGTTGTTTCGATGAGATGGTCTTTGCTAGGGATAGTCATTTTATTCCGTTTTGGGTTGGGCTATGATGATTACGTCTTTACTTATGAGGTTACATCATCTATGTTGTATGCTTTGCTTGTTCAGAGTTCTAGTTTACTAGGGAAACTCTGCCAAAATTTTAATAATGTCTAAAATTTAGTAGAATTTAGGTGTTGTCTTGTAGCCTCCGGTGGTGTTTCTAGCCTGGGTGTTACATTAATACCAAGTATAATCTCTCTACAATATTTAACACATGACAGTAGTGTATCCTGTCACACTCTAACTTCCTGCATGAACATTTGAAGTGCAACTTATTATCTATTACTTTAAATTTGTATTAATCTTCTTCGAATTCAAAGTCATTGTACTATATTTTCCATTTTAATTCAAACATTCTTTCATGAATAATATCTTTCACCCCATATGCTATTGTATTTTTTAATTTGTTTTGAACCTTTTGAAATATTAAACTTGTATAGATTGTCGATGCATGTTGCTCCAGAAAATTATATGATCATTTGTTTTGACACTTAACTTCATAATTGTATCTGCAACGGTCTAATGTTAACAAGTTTTTTCTTATATGTTCTCATATGTATCGAAGAAATTCACAATTGTATCCTTTTGTGTCACATATCCCTTAAACAATGCATTTGTGCTTTCACTCCTTCCTGTTGTACTTAAAAGGGATAAAATGAGCTCATGAAATATGTCGGTACCCAAAACCGGCCTCGGTTCAAATTCTTATGTTGTGAATGAAATCTTTACATAATATTTCGGTTCCTTGTACAAATTGGTTTTTGCAGGAAAATAGTCCCATCTGTATTCTATCTAGTTATTTAACTATGTGCAAAAAATAGAATTTTCTTACTAATATTGAAAATGTTGCTTTTATAGCATTTGCAATTAATTGATTTTGGTCTATTATTATCGTTGTTGGCATTTTTTCTCCATTTGTAATCAAGAAAGTATTAGATAACCATTCAAATTAATGTCTCAGTTTTTTTGGCCCTGTAGTAGTCCACTTCCAAATAGCATTATCTTGTCGTGGTTATTTATGTCAATAATAGGTACAAAAACATATCATACACATCTGTACTAAAAGTGATGTTGAATGTTACATAGTCTCCTTAAACTTTGTAATTAGATATTCTAATAACATTTGCCCAAAAGGCATTTCGCATTATCTCATCTTGATCTGATTTTATGTTGTAAGAAAAACTTGGAATCTTTTTTATCTTATTTTAAACAAATTTACTACGCTTTTTATTGCAGACATCGATTGTATCAAATCCTATGCACCTCAAGTGGCCTTTTAGTAGTCTGAAATATAGATATGACTTTTCTAGGTGTCAATATGTTGTTTTAGCAGTATACTGATGCAACATTTTCTCTCACTTTTATACTGATCATCTCCATCCACCCGTCGCATCAGTGCACCGATCACTGGATCATCGACCATCTGTCTCTCTCATCTCTTCTTGTCTTCAAATCTCTCGTGCAGCAGAAGCCATGCCGACCGCCACCATGCCCAAGCCGTGAAAAAGAGCATGTTCAAGGTGGTTTACGGCATGTGCAGCACCAACACTGACTACTCACTCGACGCCATGAACTCACACAGCCAATGGTGCGCGGCCACTAAGAAGAAAAGGGATGACACCACCAAGGAGGAAGACAAGGCCCGCCGCACCCCCTCCGCCATTAGACAACAGGTGTGAAAAATAGCAGCCTCTCTCGTCCTCCACAGATCCCCTTCTCGAGCACGCCTCCTCCTAATCTTAGATCATTTTTGCTCATAATCTCATAAAAGTTTCTCACAGATTTGTTTTCTGCTTTTACTGCATTATGGGGTCTTCAAACACTTTCCATATGAAATTACAACCCTGATTTGAAGAGGCGGCAATAGAAGTCATAAATAGTCTACCCGTAGGAGTTATTGTAGTAGTAATATCAATATAATTTAGTAGTCTATCAGTTAGTGGTTATGATCTAGGTGTACTCTAGTCCCAAAGCATTGCCCTGATTCTAGCTTCACACGTACTAGTACTTTGCATATTGTGCTTTCAACAATACTTAGCATTTTAGATCCTTAGATTTGGCAGAATGATTTATTAGACCCTTTTTTTGTTTGACAAAATTTATATCTCCTCTTATGCATAGCAAAAATTATAGCAGGTGCTTTGCTGGGGTGAGTTGTGTGTGCTACAAGTGAAAGAGGAGGGTCCATATTTATAGCAGGAGCTTTCTAGCGAGAGTGGAGAAGCTCTGCAAACAACTAGAATATCTTCAAAAAAATCACCAAACTGATCAAACATTTACCTGGTCTCCCCAGAAAGACAAGGGGAAGTATCTTACCAGTAAACTGGATTTATAAGAAAGTGGAGAGAGATGGATAGGAATAAATACATCATTGGCAATGAAGTATGCTCAATAATAGAACAACCAACAAATAATGTGAAGTGAAGACATCATTGACAATAGTCTCATGGTTAGTAACAAATGCACGGAATGTAGCAACAAACGAAAACAAAACAACACATGCCACTACTAGAAATATCCACTTCTATGACGAAAATGCTAATGACGAATCCAAAATCATCATAGAAGATCGTTTTTTACGACGAATATTTTGTTTCATCATAGATCAGTGGTGACGATCCTACAACCCTCCCTTTCTATGATGAAATCAGGCATCATCACAAAAACGTCATAGAAGAGCGCATGGTTTCGTCATAGATCACTCGCGCGACACATATGTGACGATCTCGTTTAAACCTATGACGAACCGGGCTTCGTCATTGAACTAATTACACATCTATGATGGATAATATTTGATCAGTAACGAATGGCTTTCATCATAGATCTCCACACT